TATGTTTATAATTTTTACTGAGTTTTAACCACTGTATGTAAATCTATTTTAATATGTTTTGTTGGCATTCCTATAAAAATAAATAAATAAAAATAAATAAATAGTTAAAAACGTGACTTGTGGTGTCAGCACCAACTATTTTTGCGTCGGAGATCCCTTAATGACATGCTATAAGTTATATGCCTTGGTACATGGTCCCTTTACGCCTTTGACCACGGTAGAAGTTTTTTTAACATTTCATAAGGTGGGAAACGAGCAATCGGCCACCTGAATCCACCGAAATGACGAAGCTACCGCAGCCCACAGACTTTCGCTATAACTGATGCGTTGCCTACTCTTAATCCACGAAGGAGGAGACGCACGTAAACAGGATGTTTTCCCTTCCTATGTGTCTCCTCCACCGTCAATTCCTCGTTCCTTTAAAAGGGATGAAAGTTAGGCCTCCGGCACCACACTCATCAGACGAAACGCCTATTCTGTGTGATCATGTTATTACACCGGGCGAGCCGGCCCATTCGTGCGAAGATGTTAAAGCGGGCTCTACCACTGTTAAAGTCTATAGAAAAAGTATTTGCCAGGCAAACTCTCATTTATCTAAAAAGGGACGAAAGTTCTAAAATTAGTCGGTACCAACACCTGAATAATACTATTAATTAAGTAGCAATTAACAAGATAACTTATTATATTTTTTATAACTTGACTTATAATTATGTTAATTAAACGAAAATTGTATTTATCGGTAGAAATTTGATAAAACTTACCAGCTTTTAGTGACATTATTTAAGTTATAATTACTTTAAATTGAAGCAAGTCCTTTCTTTGTGCACTTTTTTTATTTTTGTTTCGCGATTTAATTACAACAACCGTTTTATAGCCAGCATAATGATAAGCCACATATCATTTCCTAATAGTAAATCTTAACAAGAGTATAAATATTTGTTTATTGATATGCAATCAATAACACACTATCTGTCTGCTTGGAATGAAACAAACTTAGTAAGTAGCCTCTGTGCTCTTCCAGACATCTTTTATCGAGATTCATGAAGCCGTTTTGGAGATAATATCGAATTATCTGTGGTAATAACAAACATGCAGCCACTGAACCTGGTGCCACTGAAACTGTGCCAGCAATGGTAAATGAATAAATTTACCGAACAACAAGTCAATTATTTATTTTTTTACAATTTTTCCTTGATTTGTAGATGTTTGTGTCGACAAAAAAAAAATAATAGCAATTTTGTTCATTGTAATACTATTATTTTTCAACAGGCGCTTGCATTGACATATCTAACTTAGTTTTGCAATTGTATCTATACCGTAATCCGATATTTAAACGATAATACGACACAATATATATGGTGTATATCAGTTGGCTAAGGGAAAACATGTTTACTGACTAAATGTTTATACAACACAATCGGATCACTTCACAACTCGGCTAGGAATACACATTGTGTAACTGTGTTTTGCGATATCGCAATCTGTGAATGGATATCGGTATATTTCCATTCATATTTCACATCTCAAGGTCTTATGATCACGATATTTGATATATTAATTTGTTTAGAAGTCAGCGGAAATGATGCATTACATTGGTTATTACGGACGTCGCCAAGAAGGTAAGCATCATCTCCCTGGCCTTATTATTATAACATTAATTACTGATGCCGAAAGTTTAGATTAATAGATGGATGTTTATTAGTTTGTAGTTTTAACTGCTCTGTTTAAACATCTCTATCCAATTCGGCGTAGATGTTGATATTCTGTAACACGGAGTCGCGTGCGAAAGCTAGTATATAAATTTAAAATACTAATGTAAGTTACACGGACGACTATAAAGGATACAATATTACTTGGGATGCTTTTCAACAACGAGAATAAAGAGGTTATTTATACTAATATTATAAAAAGAAAAGATTTGTATTTTTGTATTTTTGTTGTATTGAAATAACTCAAAAACTACTGGACCGATTTTAAAAATTCTTTTACCGTTAGAAAGGTATATCTGTAAAATCTTTTGATCATTTTCTAATTTCACACGGACGAAGTTGGGGACAGAAGTTAGTATGTAATAAGAGATCAAAATACGTCGCTTTGTTGCACTCAATTTAATGTAGTAAAGATTTATCAAGTAAATAAAGGTGTTTACGTTCATATAAATCACGTGCGTCAATCCATCGAGTTTACGTCGGTTTAATAGTAAATAAGGTTAACTAGAGATGTTAGAATCTAGTAGACACGGACATAAAATAATTCCCCTGATAAAATACGATGCAAAATATATTACATGATGTAATAACAAAGCGCTTATTTAAAGTATACATGTTTAGTTTTAATAAACAGTTGAACTGTACATTTAAACTGACGTGTGAAGACAAAACAGAGTAAGGAACATTTTAAATGACAGTCGGACTTTTGCCTACACATGTCAAATACAACTGTGCAGTTAATACTGACTGTAGCGAGCTTAAAAATTATACATTTTTAATACTACCCTATTCGAGAATGGAGTTCTTTTCTCTTCTTTACATGACAATCAGATATTTTTATATTAATTTACATGAATTTACATTTCACGTTTAGAAATAACATTTATTTTTCTTTTAAAAACACAAATTGATAAAAAACATTCATATAGATAAAACAGTATGTCTGTGTGTATTCATATCTTTGTAACAAACATAATTATTCTTATGTACATTTAAAATTTAAGCCTCTGAATGACCATGGTTATTGACAATGAAAATCGTATGTTATCCGTCGACGTGTTAATGCAACAATAATGTTACGCACACAGAAGTCGTGAAAAATTTACACAAGTAACAGTTAAAGAAAACATTTATTTCCTATATAAAAGCGACACAAACAACAAAAATCGTAATCAACAATTTGACGTTGAGAAGACAAGATGGCGGCCATTGTGAAGTTGACATTTGTTTTTTTAATCTGTTGCGTTGTTTTAGGACGTTCGGAAACACAGCAATCTAAATCCACTCAAGGGAAATTACAAGAATCTGAACATCATTTTGAAAAGAGATCAGCGGATTATGATGAAGATGATTTCGCTGATGGTTTCGTTCAAGCACAACGGCCGTATGAAAATTCCTTCGATAGACCGCACAGAATCCGAGTGCTGCCAGGATTTCTTCATTGATTATAATTATTTGTAAGTTTTATAAATCAATATGTAAATAAATCTATTTCATGGGGCTTTTGCAATGATAACATTTGTTTTTTTTTTACATTTCTACCTTTTCTAGTCTAAACAGCTGAACGGATCTCGATGAAATTTGGCATAGATATAGAGGATAGTCTGGAAGAACACATAGGCAAGTCACTTTTGTTTTTTTTTAATTCCAAGGACGGAGTCGCGTGTGAAAGCTAATAATTTAGATAATCAACAAACTATTAATAGTTAATCAGCCGAATATGGTGGTTTAAATTAAACACAATTTTTTTTCTAAAGGGAATTTATTTTAAAAATACGTCTTAAATACAAGCTTTAAAATAATCACATAAGTAACAAATCGTAATATGTTCATCAATATTCTAATATCTATTGTAAAAGAAAAAAATTAAAATGTAGAAAACACAGCTATGACGTCATCAACCAATCGAGTGTTATTGAACAGTAAAAATCTCTTTTTTACTCCAAAGGGAATGACTACGTTGTCAAAAGATAATTAAAAAACTGCATTCAAACAGAATGTATCTAAAACTTTAATAATAAAAGCACCATTGTTTCAGCAAATTCATCTTAAAATTATTATATTAAAAATAAAGATTAACTCCTTTAAAACATTTTAATTTACCGTGGACTGCATTTTTTAAACAAAATCATTATAACCTTAAATTTCTACTAATGAAAGTACAAAACATAACCTCTACAGATATAGTTGGCTTTTTAAAAGAATGTGGCAAAGGAGCGGGAACATGAGGAACTACAAATGCGTTGTAAAATGGCCTTAATTTCGTTGCTCGGAAGTATTAAATTGGAATTACTCGTTCCTATTTGAAGACTGTTGTTAGTTCCAGTTTTTACCACCGCTGTCGTCAGCGCTGCAATCGCTTCAAAATGGCGAAAATGAAACAGACTTATCATGGCTTGTAGCCTGTTGATGTAGATAATTTTGTAACAGGAGTAACTTTTTTAGCAATTAATAATTGTAAGTGTAAATGGCACTTTAACTAAGTTTCTACGTTAATAAGGAAATACTTATTTTTGGCACATGAATTCACATCTTTGGGTGCTTACACTTCGCTAATATATAACTAAAATATTTAACATAGTTTGTCTTACAAACTTTACATAATTCATATGACACATTATAATATGAGATTTTGTAACAAATTAATGTTTGAAATACAAAATCTGAATTAAAACTAACCTATAAAATAAGATTAACTAAACATAACATTTAGAAATATATAGAGATTCCTACATGTAGTACTCAGGTATCAATCTTAGTGAAGATTTGTGAAAAATTACACTAAAAGTCTCCTTTATCGATCAATAACAACTCTGAGTACGGCAGTAAGTCTTTCAGGATTCTAGTAAAAAAAGATTAAATGTAGAATCGAGATTATTCAATGCTTATCGTTTATGTTACTCTACGGCCAAACCCAACAATTGATTTCGATCCATTTTTACTTATCTAAATGTTTGCTGATTTCAAAATGAAAATTGATTCAGAAATATAGTCGTCGATTTCGACTTTTTGCCGTCGATCTGTCAATATTCAAAGTTCGAAAATAACATATATTATATATAATGTAAAGAAAAATAGTTAAATTACGATACATTCGATCTAAATATACATATAATATTATACTTCTTATTAACTTATTGTATTATATCTTTATAATGACTTAAATTATAACTTAAAACTAATTTATCCTTACAATCTTCCGTCTTACGAGTAAGTACCTCTGATGCCATGAGGAGTATACAAAAATTGGCTCAATCTTCCAGACGGTTGGTGAATATTTCATACCAATAGTTTATCAGTCAAACCCAATAATCAATCTCGAACCACAAATGTCGAAATCAAATGTCATCTTATAATACTCCCGTAGGTTCGGCGCAACAGGTTTTTGTCCTCCAAATAACTCTATCATACGTCATCTCAGTCATCACTCCCTTCTTGATCATGTCTTTTCACGCAATACATCCATCTCTTTCTAGGTCCTACTTATTCGTTGATTCCATTTTTGTACTCACGCAATGTGTTTACAATCTTTAGATCGGTCTTATGGATCGATTATTGGGTTCGGTAGTTACAATGTGAATGGGTTGAAACATTGTTATGAAAACGATAGTAAATTTATACATGTAACTTAATTCTTATAAATAATTCAAATGTATTATATCTATATATCGTGATAATAAAATCTGTTATAGTACTAATCTTATTCTATGAAAACTGGGATTATTCCCAACCGTCAGTCCGCTCTGTCCCCACGTGAGAATAAAACGTTTTATCCGTTCCTCCTTTTAGTCTCACTATCATCAATAAGGCGACAGATGAAACCGAAATAAAATCAGTTCCAACCGTCCCCTCGTCGCTAAAGGTGGGACGGATGAAACTTTTTATACTCTTCTGTCTCGTGGGAACAGAGCGAGGTGACGGTAGGGAATAATTCCAAAACTGGTACAAAATATTTTCTTAACTCTATCGTAAATATAGCATTTTTTGTAGTTAAAAATATGAAATCGAATGAAGTTATTTATCTAAATATTTGTATTTTGGTATAGAATTGATTTTTTTACTATTAAAATTCTTTGGGTCAATTCCTGATTTGTAAGTACAATAAAATTTTAAATATAATGTCTTTCTAAGTACAAACATATTAGTAATATTACAATTAACATAATTATAACCTAAAAAAACAATTAAAACCGACCATAGCATATATGGTAGTTTTAAATGACATATAATTTTATACTGCAACTGAATATTCAAAAGAAAATTTAAATACCAGTAAAAAATCGACGCAAATATTAAGGCTACAAATTGAAATATGTCTTCATTTAAGATAAAAGTAGCAATAGTTAGTTACTTCTGACATTATCACTGAATAATAAATATCAAAAACCATTCAAAACTATAATAGTTAATTTAAATAGCCAGTCCCACCACTGATAGAGGCTCAGATAGTTTAAAAGTAGCGTCACTGTCGATTAGAGTACCAAGATCCGATATTTCCATCACAATCTAAACGTTTACGTTGCGGATTGTTTTCTGACAATTTACAAGAATGGGGATGTTTCCTAATGTTACAAATTCAAATAAAGTTATGTTTAATATTTTAAAGACAGTATTTTAAAACCTATAATAACATTTGGAGACCTTAAATGTTTGTCTCCATTGAAATATAAATTAAAAACGCTGCAATATTTTTTACCCTCCATTACTCTATCTCAAACACCAATCAGAGCTCGGTGACGTAGCTTCTTCGCAAACAACATGGCAGTGTGACCAGCTTCAGTGAATGTCAGTGCATTTTGTAGTTATAATTTTTTTTTAATGATTATAATAATTGAGTTTGCGTGTGTTATATTATGAGGACTCCATTATTAAGTGTTTTCATATTTACGACATATTTTACGAGCAAATTTTTCGATCATTATGACGAAAAAAAAATAGTAAAAGTTATTTGAATAGCTAATTAAATTTACGTCTGGTCACTTTGAATGACTTTGACAGACCGCGACGCGAGGTTTGTTAGCAAAGAAGTGACGTCATGTCATGAAGCGTTTTCGCGGTCTTTCGAGAAGTTGTTTTCAGTTAAGTGTTTTTGTAATTAAATGTTGCGTATATGGTTTTATTACATTTTTTTAATATAATAAAAGCAATTCCAAAAATTAGGATACATCCCCGTTGTGGGACTGGCCCTAAACCACAAAAGTTAGTATAATTCAAACATCGTGTTTAACAACAGAAGTATTAAAGGCAAGTAATAGCTATTACAAAACGCGTTGACATTAAATTGCATACACTATCGTCAATACTCTCGCAGCAATCTATTGGGGGCTAATTTACGTAATAAGAAATCCCTTTGGTAATTATTACCAAAACCATGTTATACAGACAGAAAACATACTTAACTACCTCACTTCTTTGGATATAGATTTACTATACTTCATAACTATATCTATACTAATATTACAAAGAGAAAATATTTGTTTGTTTTATAAAAAAAAAATTATTAAATCAAGTAAGTTACAAATCAATCAGTTGTAGGGACTTCCTTTTAAGTAACCAATAGGCACTTGTGTTAGGAAGTCCCGCTCTTCCGTGTAACTCATAATGTAAGATATTCTTGCACAATCTCTGCTATGACAAATAAAGCGTAAAAACACACCACCAATGTTTTATAATAACTCAAAAACTATAAATTTTACCATGACTTTGCTTGAATAATCCTAAAACAGTAACAATTTATGTAGATATATAAAATAAACAATTACTGCGGGCACTCAGGTCATAAGTTACAAATCATTAGCTTAAAGTTTTGTTTTGTTTTCAACACGGATGTATTTCGAAAGAAGTTAGGAATTATTTGTTTACTGGTAACTCTACAAACTAGCAGGCGCCCCCTGTTAATGTCAAAATTGCCATAAGATCCTTGTAGGTCTATAAGATGAGGTGGTGCGACGCATAAGGTGGCAGATTATTTTGTATTACAGTTAGGTGGCACTGTAGAAATCTCGTTAATGATAAAACGGACCCTGTAAGAAGTAGAGTATATCTATGGTTGTTTGAAGTTAACTGAATGGTACTCCAATGGTCATGCAGTATAGCAGTATGATCTTCTGAATATATCGGATCAGTATTCCCTGCGGCAGTAGTAGCCTAGGTTGCGACACTTCTGGCACAGATGTTGCGGGTGGATCTTGGATTGGTCGCTCACGTCCAACCCATCCGGCTTCTCCAACGGCCTCTGGAAATTTTAAAAATGGAATTTAAAATTTAATTGGAAGTATCGAGTATACTTATGGAAGTTCCAAGTAGAACAAGAAGTACATGTCTATACTATCTGATGTCACCAGTATTTCGTGTATACGTTTGCAATGTTCCCTTGTTGCAACAGGGGCAAGAACGGACGCACACTTAACTACTGTCGCATGATTGTTCTGCGGCTGTCAATTGTTTCGCAGTCAATTCAATTGTTTACTTGCAAAACTAAAATTCTAGTAGTGTGTGTACCTCATAGGAATTAAAGCGAGACGAAACAGTTGTGCGATAGTTTAGTCAAAGGTGCGTGCTAACACGTCAATATTAAATAAAAACATATCACATTAAATACAAAAATAACTTTTCATAAGTCGTAACATCGTGTGTTACATTTTTATTAAAATAAACATAAAATATAAATATTCACTGCAATACGCTTGCGAATCGTTTGCTGGCAACTTTCACGTTGTAAATAATGAATAAATCTGTTTTTCATTAAAATCATATCTTCATATTATCATTTACAATTCCAAAAATTTTAAAATCAAAGTAACTATTTCTTTCGCGTCGCGTTCCAATATTGAAACGGTTGTAGCTTTTCAATTATTAGAAATTAAGAGCGTCGGTGGCTCATGGGTTTGAAGTCTTGACTTGTAGTCTAACATGATTTTAGATTTTTACAATATTTTTTGTACATATACCGGACGTTCTTACAGTGAAGGAAAACATCGTGTTGCAACCTGCAATTATCAGCGAAGAAATTTAAAGATATTTTGAAGTCAAACAACCCGCACTTTGCTCGGGTGGTTGAATATGGCCTAGTCACCCCTTATTAGAGTAGTCTCCGAACCCATCAGTGTCATATAGTGAACTGATGATGAATCAATTATCAACTAAAAGGTTTATCATTGAAAAACACCCTTTAATCGTATGTAACCGATAAAATAAATGACACGTCCTATTTATTTAATTACCTGTTTATGTGGGAATACGTTAATCCGACATTTGATACACTCCTGACCATTGTTGGCCCAGGAGTTGCCGCTCATCCACTTGCGTTTGCATTTTGGGCATTTGTATTCACCGAAGCAGCGCTTTTTACCCTGGTAGGGAGTTAACCCTTCACCTTTCGGACGAGCCTGGAATGTAATTGGAATAATTAATTGACCTATATATTCCGAGATGATGCCCAAATAGTAATTAAAATATATTAAAATATATGTAATTACTAGCTGTTGCCCGCGACTTCGTCCGCGTGGTATTAGAAAACATACGAACTACATAAATAACAAAAAGCTATGTATCCCTCGGGAACCGGACATTTCTCGGGAATGAACCTTATCCCATGTGGACTTTGTTTTATATCTGTGCTAAATTTCAATGAGATATGTTGAACCGTTGCAGAATAATTGAGTAAACATTAAAAACAAAATTAATGCATCCCACGGGAACCGTAACTATTTCCGGGATAAAAAGTAGCCTATGTGTTCTTCCAGATTATGCTCTACACCTGTGCCCAATTTCATGGAGATCTGTTCAGCCGTTTCGGCTACATACTCTGACAACCATCCATCCATCCATCTAAACTTTCGCATTTATAATATTAGTCAGAAGTCAGAAGTAAGATTACAGTCGTTTACCTTAATAATAAAGGTATATGTTACTGAGTGCGAAGGAGCCAGCTGAAAATCAGCGCAGGATCGGCTTAGTCCGTTCTGCATCCGCTGAGCTGGCTACCTTTTGCCACGATTGTATGTTTTCTTTAGAATGGGTCCTATATGTAATTTCTTTTTTGTGGCAATAAATACATATTCATAGTGAAACGATTTTTAAATATGTAACAGCGTTTACAGCCATTCTAACGCTTCAATTCCAGTAAAATATATATCTCTATCGACTTGTAAAGGACGCTTACTAGACGAAATCTAGAAGATTCTTTCCAAAATTCGATCTTTAGTGTAAATTCAGAAAAATCAACACTAAGGCACTTAGATAAGAAGCTGACCATATTCTCAATGCATTTTTCGTATCCATATTAAATGAGATATTCTTTTGTTAAGGGCTTGTCCAAACAAATTGTAAATTGTTATAACAATCCAATGTGTAATAATGTAAAGGAAACATTTAGATCTCGGTACTCTATGTGACAGTGACGTCATCTTTAAGCTATTTGAGCCTCTATCAGCCAGTGGGACAGGCCCTTAAAGTTTTGAACACATAAAACAAATAATATAGAGTAGGCGTACATAGAAATGGTCAGTACAACTCTACTGTTTATTAGGTATATTAAATACTTCCAGCAAGCGATCGGTATACGTGACTAAAACGCGATTCAAGTTTTGTAAACAACCAGCTCGAGATGAAGTTCTTAGAAAAATCGTGACTGTAATTCAATTACAATGTAATGTAATTGGCCGGGTAATGTTACAGTTAAGGTAATGTACACACAACGCTACAATAACGAGCGTTAAAAACATCTATGCCAACTGTCCTATTAATACGAAGCGCGTCATACATTCTTCAAAGACTATATGGTGCAGAGAACGCGCGTTATCTACGCGTTTTAAACGCCTAGTGTGTATTAGCCCTTATTGTTATAGGTGCATAAACGCTTGTGATGCGTTTTGTTATCGTCTAGCACCTTACAACGGACGTCTTGCACAAACAAATTCATTTTTCACCGAATTGCTAATCTAATAATCTATTCATGAGAACTTTAAATGCAAAATGGAAACGGTCGAATGTACATGTATGTATGGATGAATGGATATTTGTTAGGGTTTGTAGACTAAACTGCTGAACGGATGTCGATGAAATTTGGCATAGATGTAGAGGATAGTCTGGAAGATCACATAGGCTACATGCTTTTCTTTTTTTTAATTCCACGCGGACGGAGTCATTGTGGAAAGCTAGTACTGAAAATAAATGTTACAGCGCCTTAAATGGTAAGACACTCCATTTCAAATTTTGAAGTTCATCAGATTGTAAGCGGTGTGTACGAACCGTTTATTTATGCTTTTTTTTAGTACTCTGCCATTTTAAATTCATCAGCACCAGCTCACTAAAAGTCCTCACCGAGGGGCTCGGAGCCTACCCTACTAAGGGTGCTTAGGGTAGGCTCCGATATCCTAGTTTTAAATTTGTATTTACAATTATGTAATGACTAGCTTCCACCCGCGACTCCGTTCGCATGATACTATAATAAAAACAAAAGAAAGTAGCCTATGTGTTCTTCCAGACTATCCTCTACATCTAAGCCAAATTTCATCCAGATCCGTTCAGCCGTTTAGGCTACAAACTCTAACAAACATCCATCCATCTATCCATCCATCCAAACTTTCACATATATAATTATGAAACGATTCCTAATTAGATTATAGTAAGTTTTAGTCAAAATATCTTAAGGCAATCACTAATTAAGATAAAATCGATCAGAGTCAAAGTTGAGCATAACACAGGGACCTTGTTAATTACGAAGACTTATTCACATTCGAACAATGACGTATTTAGTTTGATTTAATTAATCGTACGACGACGAACTGATAAGTTATCATTTAGAATTACCAAGAAATATGAAACGAGAGTAATTGAAGATATATGACGGGCCTAGAGTAGACACCTACTAAATTACCCCGAAACTTATTAACATAAAGTGGGATTTTGGTCAAACGGTTATTTAAAGAGCTCGACTTATTGCCTGCCTCAAACTCCAGAGTAAAAAAGGTAACGAGTCATCATCCACTTGCCCTTATCCCTTACGGGTCGACACAGTATGTGTTACTCTTCCATACATCTCTATCAGCCGTCATATCTGAATCCACTCCTTTCTTAAGCATATACTCTTTCACACAATCCATCCATACTTTCTTTGGTCTTCCTCTTCCTTTGTAGCCATCCACAATCTTAACACTTTCTGGTTTATGTCCCCATCATTTCGTCGCATAACATATCCATACCACGCTAACCTTTTGCTTCTCAATTTCTCCACTGGCGCTACTTTCAAAAAAAGGTAACGAGTGACCACTTATATTTTAATGTCTCAAGTCATTTGTAAATCTCATTGAAGGTAAAATAATATGGACATTACCTCGCATAGAAACTAATTCGAATATAGTCATCTATGTTTTTTCAGAGCGCGCACACGTTCGACTAAGCTATCGCACAACTGTTTAGTCATGCTTTGATTCGTATAAGCTTACATGAAGGTTACACTACTCGATTTTTAGTTGTGCAACTAAACTGAATTGCCTGCGAAACAATCGACAATCGCACATTAGTGCGATGAGTCAGAGGTATACACTCTAAATGTTAGATGACTGTAGTTTTCATATGTCCAATAAGAGTCAAGTTTCTTGCAATTTAAATAACTATGAACGGTAACTATTAGTTTAAAAATAAGTAAATTAATAAACATTTTGGCGCTCTGCCACACAGCCGATGTGGTGGCGCGGAAATAACTGAAAGGTTACTCGATTTGTTACAAAAGAATTTTGTCACAGACTGTATACCAATTTAAGTGTTATTTTATCTATACTATTATAAAGAGGAAAGATTTGTATTTTTGGATTTGTGTATGAATTCGATTCACGTAAAAACCACTGGGCCGATTAAAAAAACTCTTTCGCATTAGAGAGGTAATGTTTCTGTAAGTAATATAGGCTATATTTTTTATTATTAAATATCACAAAGGCGAAGTCGCGAGCAACAGCTAGTAAACAATAAAAACATTCAGACACAACCAACCAACAAAGTTACAGAAGGGGCACCATAAAACAAGTAATTTTTGTACAAATGTCATATGATAGTTGTCAATTTTACAACCTAACAATATCATCTCAAAAGCGTCATATTTTAACCAATCAGTGAGCGGCAACTGCACGGGTGAATGTCGCCATTTTCATAATTTCGAAATTCGAATTCGAAATAAATTAGCATATAATTTATTTCTAATTTCAAAATGGGAGAATTTCGAAAGAAGTTGGGAAATTTTTGTTTACTTGTAACTCTAAAAATTAGCAGGCGCAATGTGAAAACACTGACAAAAACGTTGTAAGTCTATATTCCTTTTTTTTTACATTTCCTGAAAGTCTTGGCTCCTGTAGTAGGTTGCCCTGTGTCACAGGAGCCAATTCCTTCCCCAATACTTCATTACAATTCTTTTAATGTCTACACAAAGAAAACAAAAAAATACATTACAATTAATGAGTTATTTTAAAACATTAAAAAAAGGTACAAGAAAATTTAAGGTATTAATAACATTTTCGAATAAAACAATTATAATTAGCAATTAGATTGTTCTTTTTTTTTCCCCCATCTTTATATTTACATATTTTATCGTACTAGCGATAACGCCAATCAAAAATCGTTTTGTCTAGGGGTATGAGGCGCTTTGTACAACAGTAGCACAACTTATATCCATAACCCAGAAGGAAGAACAGTTACGTAATCATCTTTATTATGTAATCTAGTCAATAAATAAGATACCTGCGGGCAATCTCCAATATAATGTCCTTTCTTGAAGCAGAGATGGCACATGTAGGCTGGAGGCGGCGGGCGAGTAGGGCGACGCAAGGAGATCGCAGCTAGTTGCTCCGCCAGCGAAGATACATCATCAGAGGGCGCTGTAGAGCTCGGCGCGGCTGTCGGCAACGGACCCCAGATTGAACCCGGAATCCACTAAAACATAAATCATGTTAACTTTAAAGCAATTGTGCCTAGTATCGATACAATGGTGGACCCTGAAGATTGGTTAAACAAAACTGGGAAAGTGTTGGAATAAACTCTGTACAATTGACTTGTTTTATTCTTTCCCTGTTACAAAGTGTCAAAACTTTTATCATTTCCTTATTATCTGGCTCCATCATCTATATCTATACTGATATTATAAAGAGAAAAGATTTATATTTTTTGTATGTATTGAAAAAACTCAAAAACTACTGGGCCGATTTCAAAAACTATTTCACCATAAAAAAACTATGTGATCTGTGAGTAACATAGGTTTTTAATGGCACGCGGATGAAGTCGCGAGCAAAAACTACTATTTAATTTAGACCATATTAATAGAGGAGGTGAGAGGTGAGTAATAAAATGTATTATTCACATTTTTTGTTGAAAAATGGCGAAAGTACGCGTAAAACTCACATTCCTCCAAATAATTTCAACTTAGCTTACATCTATGGATTGTTCTCGAATCTCGGTTGTAATCGGATTCAAACCTAAATACGTATACCATACTAAAGACTATTTAACTATCGGGGTCATATCAACCCTACTCTAGTATTGGAGAGCAGGCGCACCGCCTTTGACTAAACTATCGCACAACCGTTGTGCGATTGTCATTTGTTTCGCAGCCCAATCAACTGTTTAGTTCCAACTAAAAATAGAGTAGTGTGTGCACCTCCATATAAGGTCATTGGAACGCGCGACTAAACAGTTGTGCGATAGTTTGATCCAAGGTGTACGCATGCTCTTAACCTATTGTTTTGTTGCATAGGAAACATCTGGCTTTCTGTGCATCAAGACTTCCGTTTGGTAACTTCGGACAAATCGCGGTAAATCCTTCCCCCACTACGTCGGACAGTGCGATCGCACGCGCATCTGGTTAATGAGTTAGTACTCTGATTAGGGCTGACAAAAATTAGAAAACGTTATTTATAATACATTTTTGTAAATCAATTTTAAGTGGAAATTTCTGTGAATTTTATGGGTAAAAATATAAAATAACTAATTGGGTTTCATTACTATAGTTAAGTATATACAGTAGAAGATAATCTGTATTTTAGCATTAGTGTAATCAATCGGTACTCTTAGGTATGTTTACCAAAGTTGTATAGGGTTATAAAATCAATTTCTCTGTCCCTCGAAGTTTTTTTCAATCAATCAAACTTCAAACGAGAATTAGCTAATTAAAAAAATGTAAAAACAATTACAAAAAAATGTTGAGTGTCAACCCTACGACCGCTCTAATTCGGAAATGCGTACGTTGACGTCTGGAGGCGAGCGCGTGGTCTCTTTTGTATAAAAATTATTGGACGGAGATTAGATCTCTAACTTTTTCTTTCATTCCTTTAATTCCTGGACCTGGATTACCGTTAAAATTATTGGTCCCATAAGTAATTCTTCCTCTTCATTCGTCTTCAATCGTCATTCTTCGGGTAAATTCGTAATTCTAGAAATTTCTGAACACGTAAACAACGAGTGCAATTTTTTTGTCGTCATTTATTCTTGCAGACGATCAAATTTACATACAGAATAAATCATATCGAGAAAAACAAGCTGCTGTTTTGTTTTTTTTGCAAGAATTTCAAGCGATTATGCGAATATTAACTACGCAGTGAACAAAGGTCTTACAAACATTTTATACTGAAGTGCGTATTAGAAAAATGACCATAGATTTCAAAAGCGTGTTTTGTTTTAGTTGCATTAATCATAGTTACAACCCTGGTGATAATGATGTGTAATTCATTATTTTTTATTGGAGTTCAAAAATTCTCTGAATCTAATTGAAGTTATTTCACGCGGGCGAAGTCGCGAGCAACAGCTAGTAATATTATAAATGCGAAAATTAGGATGGATGGATGAATGTTTGTTAGAGTGTGTTGTATGTGTAGCCTAAATTGCTGAACGGATCTCCATGAAATTTGGCACAGGTTTAGAGCATAGTCTGGAAGAACACATAGGCTACTTACTTTTTTTTTAATTCTACGCGGACGGAGTCGCAGGCGAAAGCTAGTAATACCGTAAATAAGAAAGTTTAGATGATTGAATTTATAGATATTTGTTGTTGTACCGAAATTACGTGTAGAGGATAGTCTGGAAGAACTCGTAGGCTACTTTCCCTTGTGTTTTTTCTTTAATTTCACGCGAAAAGAGTCACGGGGAAAAGCTAGTTATTAGACAATTGCAAGCCTTTTCTATATCCAGTATAATTTTATCAAAATTCTTTGCAATTTAACCTTATAAAGTTTTATTACCTTTAACCGATTTTACACAATTGTCTGGTACTAAATGCAATAGTAATGTGTTTTTTGTTTTGTTTTGACTCAGTCCGTGACGTAGCTCGTATAATGCGTAGGTCGCGACGCGCATACTGCTTCGATATATCGGGATATTACTGCTATGGAGTATGGATTTTACAAAACGAATATGTCAGAAGTTTATATTTAAAGTTATCAGAAAACTTTAAAATTAATATTCTTGATGTTGAAACTTTTTAATACAGTTATAGACTTTATTTCAACACGAAAATATAGTCAAAAGATGTTAATTACATTGTCTTTCGCCTGCGCCTCCGTTCGCGTGGAATTAAAAAAAAAAAACAAAAGTGAATAGCCTATGTGTTCTCCAGAGTATCCTCTACATCTATGCCTAAATTCATCGAGGTCCATTCAGCCGTTAAAACAACAAACACTAACAAACATCCATCCGTGTAAACTTTCGCATTTTATAATATTAGTAAGATAAGATTTTCTTAATAAAACAATCAAAATTTTAACACATTTCTTTTGTAAAAAAGTTTCGACAATAGTATCCCACGTTAAGATGTGATATCAAAGCAAACCGCCAACCGGACGTTATGTGACTCCTATAAGTTAAAGTAACTTGAACTTAACAAGCCTTGTAACTTGAAATGTAAGACCATAACAAAGGTATCATTCTCATATACCACAGTTTATTAATTATTTCATTGTTTATCGAATTTATCATCTTCTCTAAAACATAAACATGACATGATTTTTCTTACTAACAAAACTGTTTCTCGCGTCTTCGTACACCTAGATTTAATTATTGCAAAAAATATAGCCTATTCAATGATAATATAGGTTTTTAATGGTAAAAGAATTTTTGAAATCGACCTAGTTGTTTATGAGTTATTTCAATACGTACAAAAATTCAAAACTACAAATCTTTTCGCCAGGTATGCTATGGTTGCTGAGATTCTACATAACAAAGTGTGTGTTTAAGTTTTAATATATCAGTACTAGATTTCGACCGCGACTCCGTCCGCGTGGAATTAAATTAAGTTTTAGAGGTTTTAAGTTATCAAGGGTCTTTGTTGTAGAAGTTTTGGGCTCTGATGGGAAGGAAACATAATATTTTTTGAACTGATAGAGGTTTTTTGTTTACCGAGGTTTGAGTTATCGAGGTTCTACTATATTATAAATGCGAAAGTTTTTATGAATGGATGTTTGTTAGAGTTTGTAGCCTAAACTGCTGAACGGATTTCAATGAAATTTGGTATAGATGTAGAGTATATTCTGGAAGAACATATAGGACATTCACTTATGTTTTTTTTAATACCACGTGGACGAAGTCGCGGGAGAAATAACTTTCTTTTTAAGTAATACTACCGTATTATATAAAAAGTACTTCAAATAAGATCATAATAGTCTAAATCATTTGCTAGTGACACTTATGAGGATCGTCATCTCTAAGCACCCACACTTTTGACTAAAATATCGCACAACTGTTTAGTCTCGCTTTCCTATCAACTTATATGGAGGTTACACTACTCGGTTTTTACTGCAACTAAACAGTTAATTTTTTTTTTATAACATAAGGCGGCAAACGAGCAAGCGGCCACCTGAAACCGCCAAAATGGCGAAGCCACCGCTGCCCATAGACATCCGCAATTGCAGATGCGTTGCCTACCCTTATACGACGGAGGAGGAGATGCACATAGAGAGGATATTTCCCCTTCCTATGCATCTCCTCCACCGTTAAATCCACTTCCTCTTCCCAACCTCTTCTTGTAAGAGAAGGGTGGTAAAGAGAAAGGGACTTAAATTAGGCCTCCGGCACCACACTCATCAGACGAAACACGGAATTACTTCCATTTCACGCCTATCTTCTATGTGGTCGTGGTATTTCACCGGGCGTGCCGGCCCATTCGTGCTAAGATGTTAAAGCGGGCACTACCACTGTTAAAATTGGCTGCGAAACAATCGACAATCGCACAACAGCTGTGTTGCACAGTGAAAGATGTGCGTCTGGTCTAAGTTTACGAAGTTTGTGAGGGGTATTCAAAATTGGGTAGTCTATTGACGAATCCAATCATAATGATTGAAAGGATAGGTGTTTGACCCCCGCTAACTAATTGAATGGGCGAGTGTTGTGTTGATGAGATAAACAAATTCAATGCTTCATGTAAGTTAGCGGTTTCTGTTTAATTTGAAAACAATGACTCAGTACAGTACCTTAAATATCGATTTATGAACTTCTATAAAGTTTTGTAAATCCTGTTTTTCGCAGCGAGTAAATTGACACATGCAAATGTCGAATTTCAAAATGTCAGCATTTTCTGGTATTGTAAACCGTTTCTTTCATCTTAAACTAATGTTAACATGAACAATAAACACTCTATTTCTAAGAATTTTAGTTTTAAATAAATAAATGTGTAATGTTCATCATCATCATCATCTCCTTATCCTACTCCCGTAGGGTCGGCGCAACAGGTTTTTGTCCTCCACATAACTCTATCATACGTCATCTCAGTCATCACTCCCTTTTTGATCATGTCACCTTTTACACAATCCATCCATCTCTTTCTAGGTCTACCTCTACCGATGTACCCTTCCACACTCATAACTATGTAACTCATAAATGTGTAATGTTATATGACTAAATTTATATTTAATAATTAGCTACTAATAAAACATTTTTTTGAAATACAATTTAGTTATATGTACATGCTCAATTTGAATATTACGTTTTTTTTTACTTTTTAAGTATACGAAAACAATATTGATTTTATTTACGTTTATCTGTTACTGGTAAATCTGAGCACATAGCTATTTAAGTCCAAAAAGCGGGGCAATTAAAAAATAGGATATTTTGAGAAAACTATAGCATCTACGTTACATTTGACACTTCATCGACATCGACATCGTGTTGCGAAGAAGGGAATAACAAGGCGTTCGATGCGATAGTCCCATCACTTTAAAGTGAAGCTATCTTTTGATCAAAAGACCTGAATACCTCAGGTAGTAAAATACTAGCTTTCGCTCGCGACTCCGTCTGCGTGGAGTGTTCTTATGTGTTCTTCCCGATCCACTACATATGTGGCAAGTTTTATCGAGATCCGTTCAGCAGTTTAGGTTACAAACTAACAAACATCCATCTAAACATATATAATAAGATTAAATAACAAATCAATTGCGTTCTAATTAACAACAATTAACTCTTTATTAAGAGTATACTTTATGAGTACGGAGGACAAACAGTTATTCATTAGCTGGCTATCGCTTATCGAGGATTTAACCGGCACATACGTATGTCACATTTTCTATCGTAGCACGTGGCAGCTATATAAATAGCTTCTTCTTATGTCAGTTTTATAACGAACTTTAAGATTCCAACCTATAGTAGACTACATAGTAGGCAACATTTTGATGGTTTGTTTTAGGCTTTTCCTTCTTAAATAATCTTTAAAATTGCCTCTGCTTTAAAAACATATACATAATCTAACATCCAATGGGTATTAAAGTTGGTTAAAACAAAACATTATTTTGATGTGTTCAAAATTTTATGTATTCTGCTAGAAGTTAATGAAAAATTATTGACATGACAGTGGGAAAATCTCATCATGATTACTAAAATTGTACTTACGCTAGAAGAACTTCTATCGTATTATTATTTCTGATACTATCAATTGTTTCGTCTGCAGAAGTAATTAAAGAAGAAATAACATATCGAAAAATTAGGAACAAACTTACTAAAAAAAGGTCTTATTATCTGAATATGAAGTGTGGTAAATTGATTAATCAAATAAAACAAAACATAAATTCGACAGCATGTAGACCCAGGATGCTCAAGAGAAGAAGACACTTTGGTGACATCAGAGTCCTCTAAATCGCTTTAATATTAGTCTTCTGCTTAGGGTACAGAAGATGATAGAAAATATTCTAGAGTACAAACCACCTACCGGATCATTTTGATCTTGGTTCAAGAAAAGCCAGCCGAGCAAAGCCTGGCAGTTGTCTGTGGTACCACACCACTGTGGCAGATCGGAGCTGATGGCAGCTGGTGACATTGCACCATCAGTAACTCTACCACACTTGACCACAGTCACCACGGGACAAGTTTCTATCACACGACCACAGAGCAATATACACTTGATCACAAGTCACAAGTCTACTGATCACTTCACTTGTAAGTTTAATGTTTTTCGTTGGTGTACTGATATTTTTACAATGTTAGTGTGTACGTGGTGAGGGCGGCGGCCGGGCGAGGAGGTATTTTTGGATCGCAGTGTGTCGGGCTGCGCGCGCGCCGGTTACTCTCGGACTAGTAGCAGCCGCTCCTTAAGACGGGAGATGGGAATAGGTTTAGTGTTGGATATCATATCGACTGTTCGTGGAATTATATCGATAGTAGAATAATGCAATCGTTTAAGGTTTGATGTTTGAGAATAATTGAGAAAACATTGTAAGTTTTCCGTTCTCTCACTTCAATCGTAAATAATGATTTTATATAGATAGCAAATTTCAAATCAATTTTAGTAAAATTTTGTTCTTAATTAATGTCATCGTAAAGGAATTTTCTTTCCTTATAGGTATTATAGCACATACAAAATATTTTTATGATTATTTAAATTCTGTGTGCTTAGTTATATAATTTATTTTGCATGTTTAAAAAAAAATATCAAACGATACTGTAGATTTCAGTATGTTTCAGTTTATCGATAAAATAATACAAATATCGTGTCACATCACTACAGGGAACATGTGGGCGCCGACGCGCGGGGACTCCGTGGAGCAATATTTTCGTTCAGCCCCCCTACCACGAGATCCCGGCCGGTCACCTAACGATATCCCGTCCTCTGAAACAAAGCGACATATTTGTACAACACAAAGCTTGATAGTAACCAGCTTTCACCCATATGCAGTTCTTTTGATGACGTCACTTGTAAACGACGGTTTTTTGACTTTCTTATGTTCCTTTTAACTGTTTAATTGTTTACCGTTTTTAGTTCTGATAATTTAAGGTTAGTTACAGAGATTTAGTTTTGAATGACAAAACTGTATTTTTATGTTTTGATTACCATTTCATTTATGGATGATTTTGCGATGTTTAAAAGTGCTCATAAAATATTTTCGGAGAGATAGAATAAAAATCGTTTCTTGTAGGGTCATGGATTGTTTGTCAGTGCAAACTCAAATAACTATGGTCGGGGAATTTCTTCGGAAGCAAATTACAAAACAAAATAGTTCTACTTATTGCTATATTAAAAATTTTGCGCAGACAGTGTATTGTTTATGACGTGTGCCTAATATTTTGTCACCAAATGTATAAATTAGACCACTTGACAATTTTAAGTAGCCTCTACAATTCCCACTTTTAAACCAAGTTGATTAAATTTTAACACCGATATCTTCAAGTGTATTTTAGTTCCCTTATACTTTAGTTGTAAAAGGAAATAATTCCATTAACACTTAAACATATTATGTAGTTTATTTGACTTTCAAAACAAATATCGTTTATCTTAATTTCCTACAAAATAAATGATGGTTAGCTCCTAAGGGTACGTTCAGACTGGAGCATATCTATACTATTATAATAAAGCGTAAACACACTTCTTTGTTGCCTAAGATGTCAGCAATTAGAGCACATTTTTGAATAATTCTTTTATTAATAAAGAGACCTACACTTACGTCACGCTTTAGGCTATACATTTTCACGCTATTAAACTTAGGGGGTAAATATTTTGAATAAAAACCATAATGTGGGTAACAGACCATAAGCTGCTGCCAACATCGAGGAAGCAAGATTGCCTAGTTTTGTCATTTGCATTTGACAGTTTGACACATGTAAACAATAAAACAATTTTATGCTGATATTGCACGGGAACAGCTAGTTTCTAGATGAAAAAATATGTGATTTTTACGATTGAAACAAGTTTTGATTTAATTTTATACGTTTAAATTATCAATGCGTATAAACACGTTAAACTCTTAGCGATGGTTTAACTACTGAGTGCCACAGGTAGTGATTCAAACATCACTATAGTTAAAATACTTTAGTGGGACGCAATCGGTTTAAAATAAGGCGACGTCGTCACCGCCGTCAATTGAAACTCATCACGCTCTATAATTGATCACAATAAAGAGTGGCCCGAGATGGTAACCCTACTAAAATTAATGCACACTTCGATCTTTGTAATATATCAGTACTGTGTACGTTTCAAATTGTCCGGGTTATAACAATGTTGGATACAAAACATTCAATGGATACAGATGAATGTAACTAACAGATATATTGTAATGAACTCGATGGTTACGACAATTGCAATGAGTTTTCATTGTCGAAACTTGTATGATAACATTATACCTGGAATTCCTTAATCTTACTTCTTACTAATATTATAAATGCAAAAGTTTAGATGGATGGATGGATGGATGGATGTTTGTTAGTGTTTGTAGCCTAAACGGCTGAACGGATCTCTATGAAATTTGGTACAAGTTTAGCATAGTCTGGAAGAACACATAGGCTACTTTTTATGCCGGGAATAGATACGGTTCCCGTGGGATTCATTAATTTAGTTTTTTAATGTTTACTCGATCATTTTGCAACGGTTCGACATATCATATTGAAATTTGGCACAGATATAAAACAAAGTCTGGAGTACACATGGGATAAGCTTCATCCCCGAGAAATGTCCCGTTCCCGAAAGATACGTAACTTTTTGTAATTTATATAGTTTGTATGTTTTCTAATACCACGCGACGAAGTCGCGGGCAACAGCTCGTCTATCCATAATTGTGTGTGGATGTTTTGGCTTTATGAATTCTCAGTTAGCATTTCATCAGCTCATTATACGACCCTAATAAAGGTCTGGGAGTTTAACTTAAGTTATGCGACTAGGTAAGTCAACCACGGTGTATTACTGGTTGACTTCACATATTTCTTTGAATTTCTTCGCAGACTTAAAAAATGTACAGACAAGACAAAGTGAACAACATTTTTTCATCGGAACTTTCTTGAAAGGTACTTTGTTAGTTATCAAGTTTAGTGCCACCTCGTGTCTATGTATCGTAATAAAACATTTGACAAAATTACAACAATTTTTAAATGTTTAATGACGCCTATTGGCAATAAATTTAAATACAATTGTATAGACATGTGAAAAATGTTTCTAATAAAGTGTCAACTATGCCTCCTCTGTATACTGTTTTAATCTCTTGAGGCATCATGATTTCCTTTATCCAATTGTGACATTTTAAATTATCATAATACTGGCAATAAACATGTCTGCAATTTATGATTAAAATGCATTTGACATTTCCTTTTTAACAATTACAAAATTGACAGTTCGTATTGTCACGTCGTGTTTCAATTTTCTTGCTTCTATTTTACAAAACAACCATTAAAAATTGTCGAACATTGCTTTACCTACAATATACTGTGAAGAAAAGATTGTGTGAAATATTCCCGTTTCGGTAAGTGATTTCAATCCAAAAAATGTTCAATAAAAATTCCGGTTACCTTCAGTTCACTATTGTAAATGTGTACTTATGGTTTTAATAAACCAATCATTAAGTTTAAAGGTCATTTAGCATTTAGATAGCTTTAATAGGAATAAGGTTATCACCAACGTTGTCACATACGTCAAATATCCTTTAGTGAGGCTTGTGAACTAAAAATATCTAATAATGGCAGTTATCTAATAATAAGACTGCTAATTATACAAATTACAATTAATTCAGGATGGCTGGCTAGTGACTTTACTTAATTCAATTTATATAACTCTTGTAAACACAGAGTTAAACGACTTTGAAGGGTATTTATGTACTGTATATTGTATAGTATTGTATTATTCATATTAAATGGTTTCGGTAAATCTTTGCCAGAAAGCGTAGTGTATATTTATCATACTTTCACATAAAGACGAAAGATTTGTTTTTTTGTTTGTATTGAAAATACTTAAAAACTACTTGGCCGAAACAAAAGGCTTTCATCATTAAAAAGCTACATTATCAGTGAGTAACATAGGCTATGTTTTTTAATTCCACGCGGATGGAGTCGCGGGCGAAAACTAGTCTTTCTATAAAGTAGTTAAGATCTTAATAAACAATTCCAAGTAAGTCGTTACTGAGTATGATATGATGTTCAAAGAAAGGTGCTCAATTTCGCTGACTAGAACATGCAGAGTTGTCTGGGAACTAGATGACGACATTGAAGCTTGCAAACATCTTTGACAATAGATGTACAGACTAGGCATAGAGACGTTGTACTTAATAACATGCGCCAACTTTCACGAGAACAAAGGCAAAGACACGCATTTGCTGACGTGTCTATCTCTCTCTATATGGCTATTTAAAAAAAATAGATAACTACGTCAAAAAATACCATAAATTGTAGCTGCTTATACTTAAGAATATCAGGACACAATAAACAATGATAGAACTTGTTTATATTTAACAAAGAGGAGGCACGAGTTTGTCAGATCCTGTCATTTAAATGTCAAAGTAAAGAAACAATGTAGATCATTCTGAGTAGCTTATCGTATTGTAATATGAAACGGATAATAGCAAGGAAAATGATAGTTACATTATTGTTAAACGATAGCGAAACTACAGGATGTTTGTGTCCAAGTTACATTGTTGGAGGTATTTCTTCTTGATTTCTTCGAAGTTGTTTATAATAACACCTGTATTATTTTTTCAAAGCTTCAGTTAAATAGTAATTATATTAGAAACGTACATAACGTAATAGAAAATCGTTTTGCGTAAATAAATTTATCATCAACTAGCTGTTCCCATGCGGCTACAACCGCAGGTAATTATAAAAACTTCATTTTATCCTTTACATTTGTCAATTTCTCAACTGCAAACGTCAAAATGACAAGACATGATGACAATCCATGGCAATCTTGCTTCCTTGATGTTGGCTGCAACTTATGGTCTCTTTCCCACATTAGCTTTTTATCCAAAATTTTTATCAACTAAGTTTAATAGCGTGAAAGTATATAGCCTAAAGTGTGAAGTAATTGTAGGGCTTTATATTAAAAAAGAATTATTTAAAAATATTCTGTAATTACTGACATCTTAGGCAAAGAAGTGTGTGTTTACGCTTTATTATAATAGTATAGATTATAATCTAAAGTCTCCTTGAAACACAGGGTGTTCACATTACCTCGCACGCTTGTGTCAATGTACTATTGCAAGTACAGTTGGACTAAAGCATCTTTTAATTCTTTTGAAATATAATCATGCAGACGAATTTCTTATTGTCATTGCCCACGTATTTATAATGCAATTTGCTAACTCTGTAC